AGAAAAATCAATAATTCCATCAGTTAAGACTCCAAATTAATTTTTAGCAGTAAAAAGATGAAAGCAAATACCAAAATGCAAAAAAAGCAGGCAAAACGCCAAAAAGTGCTTATTTTTCCTCAGTTTGGTATTGTTTAATCTGTTCTTCTTATTGCCAATTGAAATTCTAAACAGAGAAATTGTTAGTTAATTATTTTAATCGGCATTAAAAGCTAGGTGCTCCGGAAGAGACCAACTCAAGTAATTTAGAGATGATACCGATTAAATAGTGAGTTATTTTTTAAATTTATGTCTATATTTCCTAAATGATGATTTTGGGAAGTGCAAATGAATATTACAGAAATTTTAACTAAGCTGTTACGTTTGAAATCCACTGGTCTAAATACCTTAGATTCGTAAACTTAAGACGTTTCACCACACATACTCTACAACGTCAAATGATAATTATGACGATATGGTAAAATTTAAACCCTCTTATTACCATTAAAAGTTAAGACCAGATTAATTAAAGTACATTTAATATTGCAAAACTCTCAAAATTGCAACTTGAGGATTGCTAGGTCACATTTTAGAACGCCACGTTGCAATGCTCTAAACCCGAAAGCCTTTCAAATTTATGACAAATATGAATTAATCAATTGTCTTTATATGAATACCCACGTAATTATTCCGCTCATAATAATTAGACATTTTATTACTGTTGATTTGCTCATAATGATTATGATTAAAGATGCTTGAACATCTGTTTTAACTTCAAAGGAAACAATTAAGGATATATTCAAATTATGGGGTGCGATAGACTTACCTCCACGTGGTGTACCCTGGACAACGTATTCTCATACGGCACAAAAAGTCTATAAATCGGCAGTTGACTTCTGACTTCAAACTACTACATTTCATATTCGAAAATTTCCACAGTAATCACCTTATCTTTTCTCTGCCTTTGTGTCCGCCTGTCTGTCTCTTTAACATCTTTGAATCACTCTTCTGTTCCCCCCTCTCGACTTTCTCTCACTTTGATGTTCCTCCCCTCTGTGAAGCCCGAAGTCAGCTAAAGGGCTAATGATAACTATCATAAAGTCCACCATTTGTAATAAATATTGAAATTATTTGTTTGAAATGATTGTATGAACAATCTAGATAAGGCAAAATGTGGTAATTAAATTTATCCGAAAATGATTAATAATATTGCATACGCATATATTATTCTGCAATGCATGTATGGAAAAATGTATTAATTTTCCGTAACACGGAAGTAGGTTCTTACAAAATCGAAAGGTATTGAAAGCGAATATTACAATGGGTATGCTCTAACACAAAAATGGAGTAGAGTTGAAAGCGGTGTTAGAAAAAAAACATAAGAACTACCATATCAGTAATATCTTCAAGTCAAAATTCGTGCGGATATTTCAGTTATTTTCATTACTTCATTACCAATAGGAAATTTTGGATAAATACTTTTAAATGAAGCCAAAACTGTCCACTTGCGAATAAATCGTATAGTACCTGTCTGCTCAAAAACTAGGCCATCAGCTGACAGAATATCTTTTAGTTAGTAATAATCGATCTGTCTGTGGCTCGACATCTCATTTTAAACTCGTGTAGTCAATCCTCTTACCTGTAA